CTTCATCAAAAAAAAAAAAAAAAAAAACAATCGACCTGCTTTTGGGCCCAACCAGATTTCCGGTTGGACCACCGGGGTTCCAACCGGCTGGTGGCCGGAGCAGCCCTGGTTTAAACCACCCCTCTACCCGCCTTTGGAAAGACGGGGACCGGTACACCATTTTTTCAAATAGGCATGTGGCCGACCGGTAGGTCTGTGTGGGGCCTGGCCTTGGTCCCAGAGTGGCAAAAATGGAAATCTGCCAAATCAGCGCGGCAATTATTTCACGGCCGAAATGTTTTTTTTTTTGTTTTTCACTTTTCTCAGTTTTCTGATATTGTTCCTGAAAAGATTGTGACCTGATCTACGGACCCTCGAAATTTTAGAATTTTCTGTGAATTCTTCTGAGCACGAAAAATCACCGAAGTTGGCGTCCTTCTTCTGTTGGCCGACACATGGTAGAGTGGCAAAAATGAAAATGCGCTGAATCAGCGTGGGCGATTATTCCACAGACAAAATGATTTTTATTTATTTTTCATTTTCCCTGGAAAGATCCTGGCGAAATCTACTGCCAAAATCACCAAAGTTGCCGCTTTGAAATTACAGGACTAGGCCCGCCCGCCAGTTGGCAACGGTCCCCCCCCCCTGCCCCCCCTCGAAAACCTGCCATACTCACAGTGAGGGCGCTTTCCAGGAGGCGGGGGGTGGTTTAACACCATCGTTTTCCCCTGAATAGAATGTACTGCAATGATCCGACCCAATTTGCCTTTAATTTAAGGCAATTTCCAGTCTAGAGTAAGGGGGAGGGGGAGGGGGGGAGGAGCATTTGGGACGCAACTGTCATCTTCCCCTGCAGGGCCTGCATAGACCGTATGTTAGATTGTTGATTGGCTTGGGGTGCATGATCTTTGTAGGGTTGACACGTGGCGCGCTGATATGATTGCGTAACTGTCAAGGGACGCTGGACCCGATTTCCAGCAGGTGCTGCTCCCCACCAATAGATGGAGCCTCCCCGGGCGTGCTAGTGTGTTTGCTCTTATCCTGTCTCTTATACACATCTAGATGTGTATAAGAGACAGGTACGGGCCACTACAGACACTGGTCCGGAAGACAGTCCGGAAGTGTCCGGTGTCCGGGTCCGGGGTTACCATGCTTTTAACAGTTCCAATTTTAACGGATGTCCCAGA